CGAACAATATAGTGTGGATGCAAATTCAAGTTTGGGTGTCATTTTACAGAGCAGTGTCTTTTTTCCAGGGTATATGCTGGTCTCCATTTCAGGTTTCTATTGTACAAAAGGACCTGTTGTGTTTTTGGGTTTTTTTCACCAGCTGGGAGGTACTATTCCCCTGGGATGGGAAAACTCAGCATGGAACACCTTAAGCTTCTCGAACAATATAGTGTGGATGCAAATTCAAGTTTGGGTGTCATTTTACAGAGCAGTGTCTTTTTTTCAGGGTATATGCTGGTCTTTCTCTCTCTCTCTCTCTCTCTCTCTCTCTCTCTCTCATCTCTCTCTCCTTTTCTCCCTCTCCCTCTCTCCCCTCTAGCTTTCTGCTTTAAATCTTTCCCTTCTTCTGAAGCTTGGTCAGCCTGCCCATGGCTTGAGGGTTATGAGAATGTGGCCCTTGGGGAGAGGGTGGTGGGGACAGCTCATGGGAGTCTGCTGATGAAATGTGACATTAGGTCTATGTGTAACATCAGGAAGATTGAGTCACTTGGCAGATCTTTGAGGGTAAGGCAGCTCCATCTGGATTAGGGATTATTTGGCGGGGGGGTGCTATGTGCAGGCTGGGGCTGCAGGGAGACATGCCTGGGTTCCTGAGTCATGAACGTGGACTGTGCACCCTGCAAAGTCTGACCTGTACTGGAGGCTGTCCCAACCTCAGGGGAGCTCAGTGCACACAGCGGCTGTGTGTTCATCAGCTGCCCCTGCCCCTTTATGTAACATGAATGGAAGAGAATTCATTAGGGAGCATTGGGAAGAAACCCTTGTCTTCCAAATTCTTGCCTTTCATTCACATTTACAGCCAACGCTTCTAGAATGGATAGGTCTTGTTGGTCCATCAAAAGATGGCGATCAAAACACTATTTTCTTTGTTTAAAGCAGCTGCTTCCTGGATGACAGAATCCACATTGCTGGCTCCCAGCAGGGGCCAGAGTCACTGCCCACGTGTTCCCTGGCCCTGGGCTGACGGCCCCTGTGCCTCTGGCCTCCATCAGCTTTCCTGATGGCCCTGCTCCTAGAAGACAGTCAGCCTGAACGGCTGCAAGTTACTTGGTGTGAGGCACCTGCTGGAAGCTGACACCTTGGCGGGAACACCCATTGCTGCCTTTTGAGTTTGCCCACAGGGTCCCAGGGCAACCCCAGGGATGGGCTGATGGGAGCCACCACTTGGCACGATCCACTGTCCCCTTTCCTGGTGGAGCCCATTCTCAGTCCCCCAGGAGCTCTTTCCATTCTGGAGTGTCCCGCCAACATGTCTGAAGTGGTCCCTTGATCTTGGTGCACTGCATTATCACGACAGTTTGGGAGGCGCTCTCTCCCCATCTAGGGTGGTCCAGGGGCGGCTGAGGCTCAGGTGGGCTTTTGTCCGGCTTCCTCATGCTGTGTGCGTTCCCGGGAGTGCCCTGAGTCTTTAACAAGCAGTGGTTCAGAAATCTGTGGTTCAAGGCAATTTACCCTTTCATAAGTGCCTCCCAAATGACAGCCACTGGGAACACAGCAACGGAGAAGGCACAGTTTTTGCTCTTAGTGAACTCACTCACCAGGTGAGGTAGCGACAATACAGTGAGGTAGGCACAGTAGGGGCCGTCAGGGCACTGGGAGCAGATAGGGCGGCAGCAGGAAGGCTTCTTAGAGCAACTGATGTCTGGTCTGTAACCTGAAGGATGAAGGGATTAGCCAGGTGAAGGGAGGTGACGGCACACTTTCCGGCTAGGAGGAATGGAATGTTTATTTAAAAAACAGCTGCTTTCCAGGTGAAATCTTATGGCAGATTATATTCATGAAAGTGAAAAAATGAGAGAGAGAGAAAGAGAGAGAGAGAGAGAGAGAGAGAGAGAGAGAAAGGGGTACATATGGAGAAACACAGGAACTAACAAAGAGGCAGAGAGAGGTAGAGACAGAGACAGCTAGACAGAGACAGGCCCACACAATCATGGATCGTTAGAGCTGGAAGAACCATGGTGAACACCCACAAGCCTCCCCTGTTACAGACAAGGAAACTGAGGCAAAAAAGGCACCTTCCAGCCAGGAAGGTATTTAGTTGGAAAGCTGAGTCAGCTCTCCTGCCGTCCAGTAGGACTGAGAGAGGAAGCGACAGAGAGGGATGAGATGGGGGAAGAGGGAAGTCAGAGGAGGATGAGAGGTAGGGAGAGGCGTGTAGCTGAGATGTGCTGGCATCGATTGTCACACCCTGCGGAACGAACGAAAGCAGGAAAGTTGAGATGAAATCTCAGCTGGGTCTCTCTCTTTTCCTTTCTCCTTCACCTTCCTCTTTCTCTCCCTCTCTTTCCCCTTCCAACCACATCCTACGTAACAACTAGAAGTCAGGCAACCGGTTTCCATGGCTACTAAATGGCATTCAAGTAGGCTGAATTATTAAACCCAAGGGCTTTTCTTTGAAGCCAGGGCCCCAGAATGAAGTCCCGTGAGGGGGCGCGGCAGGGGGCACCGGTCTGCACCAGGGCTGTCCACGGTGCTCCCTTGTTGGTCCGGCTCAAGAGAGGAGAGCGTGTCTGGAGCCCTGAGCCTTTCCCCCACGATGTGTATAGAAGAGGCCGAGGAGTGGGGAGGGCAGGCATCTGCTGGGGTGAAGAGGTGGAGGGAGCCAGGCCAGGCGTGCTGAACCAGAGCCCTGTATCCCAGCCTACCTCCTGCCTCCTCTGCCTGGAGCAAAAGGCGCTGGGCAGCAGCCACAACTCATCCAAGTGGGACAAGAACCAAAACCAGTATTTTTGTTATGGCTGAAAGGACACCATTTGTTCTAATTAGTTGTTACTTGTAACCAGAGAGGCAGACAATAAAGTGGCAGGTGGGTCTGAGAGCTCATTGTACTTGGACATCTCGGGTGGTTGATGCCTTCCTGGGTAGGTCAAGGCCATCTGTCCTGGAACCATCGGTTGGCGGGCATGACCCTCTCTCAGGAGTATGAATGGGCCTAGAAGTCCTGTGTGTGGGCACAATTGTTGTTTGTTTTGATGATGGAGGAGGGTGAGCATGGATGCTCTTCTCTTCAGGAGATTCCAAGCCAGGAAAACCACCAGCCTTCTGGTACCCCAGCTCCTTAAACTTTTTTCATTGCAAAAAGAAACCCAAATATTGTAGTGCGAATGCTCCTGCTTGCGGGCTGATGGAAAAGGGGCCCAGTGGCTTGTGACGGCGCCATGTCTGTGTGTCCATATGTTGGGGTGGGTGGGGGCATGAAGAGTCCATTCTGGGGTTAACGGAGTCGCCCCCCTTCCCGGTAGATTCTGCAGGTGATTTCCTAAAGTGGGGAAATTTCTCCCCACCCCCTTTGTGCTGCTTGTTCCTTGAGGGGAGGGGTTCTGGTTCCCGGGATTCCCTAGGATTGACCTTCCTGTAGGCAGGGCCCAGGTTGCCACAGGGAGTCCCATTGCTTTCTGATGCTTGAACTGGAAAAGAAAAAATCTTAATAAGGGAAACCGGGTCTGCAAGGCTTCCACACATCTGTCCGCCTCTGAACAACTGATACCTGGCCCTGATTCTTTTTTCTAATGCCCAGATGGAGCCGTTTTTAATGTCAGGGCTAAAGGCCTGGCTTTCCAAAAGTCTAATTCAGAGAGACCTACATTCACCTCATTTCAGGGTTGGTGATCATTCTCAGCACCTACCTGGGTCGGAGGTGGAAGTGCTGGGTCCTCACAGACTGACCCTCCCAACCAGACCCTCTGGGGGTGAATGGGAACCAGCCAAGGAGGCTGCACAGCCCTTGGTCTTGGCTTCCCTCCCTTCATCCCAGATGAAGGGGAAGGGGAGAGGAGCCCTGGGTCTTGTGGCTGCTTAGTTCCCTTCAGCACATGTTCTCTGACACGTGCCGGGCGGGGGCGGTGGGTGCACAGGGTACAGGCTTGACTAGAATCCCTGCTTCCAGCCACAGGGAGCTTGCTGCTGAGTAAGAAAGTCTGACTGTCCTCATTCAATTCTGGCAAACCTCAGAGTAAGCCTCCAGAGGACTTGCCCCATCTGTGCCAAGGCCCCATGGAACAAGAACTGCCAGGGATGCCCTAGCTGGTTTGGCTCAGTGGATAGAGCCTCGGCCTGCGGACTGAAGGGTCCTGGGTTTGATTCTGGTCAAGGGTACATGCCCGGGTTGTGGGTGTGATCCCCTATAGGGGGCATGCAGGCGGCAGCCGATCAATGATTCTCTCTCATCATTGATGTTTCTATCTCTTCCTCTCCCTTCCTCTCTGAAATCAATAAAAATATATTTTTTTTAAAAAAGAACTGTCAGGGAGAGAAGTCCCCACCTGGCACCCCTTTTCTCTTTTTCCTCCCCCTCCCCTGCTTCTTCCTTTGTTTCTCTTCTTTATCCTTGAGGGAAAGATGTGCCAAGAATCAGAGGAATGGTGGGAGAGAGGACACTCTAAGGGATTCTGATCTAGAAAGCTTTGGAGATGCCAGTCTGACTGCTTTTTAGGCTATTTTATTATTTTTGTGCTCTTTAACTGTCCCCCCTCCCCCTCCCCTGCCTGGGAACAGGGTATCCTTATGAGTCCTCAGAGGGCCCCTGGTGACTCTCAGAGAGCCCCTCTGTCCCTCTAGAGAGGCAGCAAAGGCATTCCGCCTCTGTGGGTGGGCTCCCTATCTTTGGGCGGTGTCTGGCTCTTCCCTCTCTCTTAACTGGATGCTGAAAGCTCCCTCTCTCAACTGGACGCTTGAAATCCCCAACCCACACCTGTTTCTATTTAGATGTAATCATGCTCTTCCCGCCATGGTCCTCCTGCCTACCAGGCAAGCGCCAGGACCCCGCAGCAGGTGAGGTCCACGAGCAGGACCTGGGCACCCACTCCTGCCCACAAACACGGACAGTGTTTTCGGGTGGAAATGGCCTGTGCAAGTTTGAGGCCGCAGAACTTTTGCACTGAAGCCCTGACTTAAATTTCTAGCCCCAGGCTGTTTACTACACAGAGCCCCGCCCTCCCGCAATTCTACTCGCGGGTGCTGCCCGCGCCTGGACAGCTCTCCCCTCTTCCTTCCTCGGTTTGGATACAGCTCATTCCGTAACTGCCCGCTCTCCCCACCTCCCCGCCGTGTGCCCCTCTGGGGGCCATGTGGTGCCAGTTCTCTTTGGAATTGTCAGAAATTTCCTTTCCACTCTGTGGGCAGGAGACGGGTTTCTTAAAAAAAAAGGTCTCCCTTCTCTTTATTTTCTGTGTCACTCCCTTACCTCCACCTGCCTTCCCGCCCCCTGCTTTCTTTTGATCGCTCCTTCTCCTCCAATTCAGTCTCGCCCGTCCCCTCGCCCCGCTGCCCTCCCCCCACGTGTTTGCTCTTTTAAAATAATTCAAGGATGTCTCGGGAATACTAGCACACTCCTCATTCAGCCGAGCGCGGGACTCTGCATTAATTCAAGGTAAGCCCGGGTTTGGGGTTTTGCTGCGGAGGAAACGGTGGTCTGCGCCCGGCACCGGCTGTCTGGGGGCTGCGCTGCCCTCCCCGGGCCGCCCGTTCCCCGGTGCTACCTGTTGGGGAGGCATGGACCGCGGAGAATCCTAGTTGGCCCGAACCTTCTCCAAGGCGCTTCTTCTTCCCCACGCGCTACCCTTTCCTTTGCAACTTCGGTGGCAATTTCCCGGGCGTGGGAAAGCTCCGCGCCGGTGGGGTTTTTGGGTGTGAGCGGTGTGCCCCTTGCTGGGCGCCCAGGGCTGGCATCTCGTTTGTGGTCGTGCGTTGGCTCAGCCCGCAGGGAGGGAGGCTTGTGCCACCCGGAGCGCAGCCAGGCTGGGAGCAGGTGCCACCGCAGGTCTCCGGGAGCCTGGGGCCTCTCGCCCCAGTCCAGTCCGGGGCCCCGGGAAGTTTTGTGGGGAGACCACTCCAGGGTAAGGCTCGCTTCCAGCGAAGTTTGTGTGAAGGAAGCTGCGTGCGCCCTTGGAGGCGTCCCGGGATTGGTAGACTGGGTGTCCCTGCCGCCGCGGATGGGCGAGCAGCGAGTGGACCCCATCATGGGAGAAGGCTGGGAATTCAGGCGGAGGAAGGGGGATGCGGCGAAGCCAGACTCCCTAGTGACTTGCTTTCCACGCAGTCCGGTCCCCCTGCGCGAGAAAAAGCCCCAAGCCCTCTGTGCGTCTTTGCCTTGTGCTCCTTCCTGCCCAGGAGAGGATGATGGGAGTCTCCATCCGCATCCCCCTGAGATGGAGGCTTCCTCCTTGCTCTGGGGAGTGAGGGGCAGTTTAGCCACTTCCTCAAGCCAGGATGTCCTCCCTCTCCTTGGGCTGTGGCTCTGGCTGCTCAGAGCAGGTGGTTCAGGCCGAGCCTGTGGGTGGGTGGATGACCGACATCTGGGGCTTTTAATGATTCACATGCTCTTCCTTTGGAGGCCATGGTGTTGGAACATTGATTCTTACCTACGGTGGGGGCCTAGAGCAGCGCCATGTCAAAGAGGCATTGCCATTAGAGGACAGGAGTCAGTTCGGCTTAGCACAGTGAAGTGTTACTGTGGAACTAAAGGATGTCTCCAGTGCTTAAATCTGTCTTGGCTGACATCAGAGCCAGAGAAAAGGGGCTGTCGTTACCGGGCCCGGGAGCTAGGATGGATACCGTGGGGGAAACTTCCCATTGACAGTTTCCAGAGAAATTACTAATGGAAAATATAAGACTTTACCTTTGGCAAGTATGTGGGTCTTGTAGATTGTGCAGCCGCCCCTAGAGCCTAGAAGATGACCTTTCCATGTTTGAGTCCATCCTACTGTCTCTCACATACTCCGTCTCTGGCCAGCTAAGATGTTCTTACCACTTTGGAGTTTGGGTAATCATGTAATTTATTGTCCAAGCCAGGACGCTGCTGAGAGTGGACAGAGACATTAATAATAATTACACATGGACAATAGAGACTGTCCAGACGGATAGGGACAGAGGATTAAACTGAGAGTGACTACGAGGTGAGTGGTGGGACCGCTGGAGAGGCAGCATCTGATGCTTCCACATCATCTGTATCCTGCATCTTCCCTCCTGGCATGGTTCTTCCTGACTCAGATCTCGGATGGACTTTATTTCAGTTCCCTCTGAGAACCCAGCTCTGAATGCAAACTTCTTTCCTTTGACAAAAATCCCGTCCCCAGGATGGAACTTCCTGCTCTGACTACAGGGATTACAAATAGAGAGTGATTTACATGGAGCTCTTTCTATCTCTCTGTCTGCTTCTTTGTGGTATTTATGAGTCTGGGGCTCCCAGGAGACGGTGTGTCTGCCAGGAATTGTGAGTGTTGTGTTGGTGGCTGCATGATGTACAGTGACCCTCAAGTCACACGGTTGAGCTGTTGGATCACTGTTGTCAGATCTCCTGGGCTCTCCTGAGGCTGGGGGTGGGGAATATCTTGTTGAAGAAGCATCCGGGCGGCAGGGAAATGCCCAGCTTTTACTTCCTGGCTTGTGAGAGGGAGTGATGAGGATTCTGAGAGGATGTGTCAGTCACAGCTCCATCCCCCTGGGAGCCCATGGCTCTGCCAGACAGCCAAGTCCCTGCAGAGCCTCAGAAAGTTTAGCTACCGCTTATTGAGTGCTTATTGTTTTTCAGCCAGCGTGCCAACCCGTTTCTAGACTTTACCATAATGAATCCTATCCAACCCTATTAAGTAGCTATCTTCATTTTACAGGTAAGGAAACTGCAGCTCAGAAACATTAAGTAACGTGCCCAAGTGCACCCAGACAGTAGGGGCAGAGCTGGAATTCAAACCCAAAGCTGGCTGACCCTCCCTGCAATAGGGCCTCTTTGTGTTGAGGTTGATGTGGTCAGTGTTTGGCTCACAGATGTAGTCCCACCTGTTTGGGGTGCTGGGATGATGGATGATTCCAGAGTCGGGAGAGAGGGAGTTGGGCAGTCCACGCGGCCATCCTGCCTGGACCTTGCTTCATGCTGCCCCTGTCCTTTCTGTCAATGTTGCCCTTTCTTGGTGTCTGAAGTGTGTGCCCCTCCTCCCTGCCCTGCTGTCTGCACCATCACTGGAGGGGTCTCTCCACTCCACTGTGCTCAGTTGCCTGGGTGATGGGATTGTCTCAGGAAAGGCAGAGCCTGTCACCACCTGGTTTGTGCCTTAGTCATTGAAGCCTGTCTCTGTAAGGGCCACAGCTGAGTGACTCCAGTTTTCTCAAAGGCTGACCAGGGTCTAGATTTGGAGAGAGCCTCCCCACCCCTTGGTTTGCCCAGAAGTAATTCTATAGATGATCAAGGGGACTTGACCACACCCAGCTGACAGTACCGTGGTTAGATTCCCCAAAGCCTCTCTCTGTCATGAAGGCAAAAAGAGAGCCTTAAATGGGTCATTCTAGACATTGTTTCCATCTGTTCGTCATTCCTACTTACCCTGTAGCCCCATCATCAGCCAGGCCAAGAACAACATTGGGGGAGAGAAGGTATTAACAACGGTGGGCGGGGTAGAGAAAAGAGCATTGGCCTGGGAGACTTGACTTCTAGCCCTGACGCAGCCCCATGAAGTAGCCATGTGACCCTTGGACAAGCCCCTGACCTCGTTGGGTCTCATCTTGCCTGGAAGTGAAGGCTGGGCAGATGCTCTGCAGGTGTTGCCCAGTTCCAACAATCTAAGAAGCCACAGTTTGGTGGGGGGCGGGGGTTCCCACTCTGTGATCTGCAAATCCTAGGCAGAGCTGCTCCCCTCTCCCAGTGGGGGGTAGGGGAGCAGATGGGGCTGATGGGTAGGCATAGATGGAGGGGGCCTGCAAGACCCATCCTGGGGAGGAGCAGTGACTGCTCCAGGTCTCCTGTGGGCAGGCCTCAGCCCAGTTCTGGTCTGGAGAAGTGGGGCTGTTTATCGGGCCAGGGGAGAGCCTTTTCTCCTGTCTGCCCCGTGTTACCTTGCATCCCCAATAAGTTGTTGTCACCTTGCATCCCGAATAAGTGATAGAGAATTGGAAGGGCAGGAAACAGCACTCTACTAACCAACATCTATAATAGGCCCAGCTACAGCGCTCGTGGAGGGGAAGGGGCGGGCGGTAGAACAGTGGGAGAACGTGTGTCCTGGTGGTACTTACAGTGTGTTGGGGAGCATGCACCTAGGCCATTGGACAAAGTATACATGTGACAAACTATAAAGCTGTTTGGAACGAAAAGTCCCATTACAAAACCCATTTGTGATAGTACAGACTTGACTGTGGGTAAATCTTGACTGGCAGAAGCAAAGATGTGTGGTACCCTTTCACTGTGACCTGGAAAACTTGTGTTAGGGGTGTAGCCCTCATTTCTGACACGAGGATTCTGAAGGGTGCTGGTGTCTGCTGCACGTGCGTGGACTTGGGGTACTTGCAATAAATGAGATTCAAGGACAGAATATGGTGGTATTCTGGAATCACCGAGCCTTTATAAAAGTACATTTTATAAAATACACAGTTGGGAAAAATATTTCCCCCTATAAGTGCAAGTCTGGGATTGGGGTTAAGAGAGAAGACTCCAGATGCTGAATAGGGTTAGTGGTGGCAGCAGCAGCAGCAACAGCTGACTGGGTGTTGGGGAGGGCGCAGAGCTGGGAGCACCAGCAGGAAGGTGTGATGCTGTCTTGGTTACAGGCCAGACACTGCGGCCTGGGGCAGGGCAGCACCCTGTGGCTTTTTATAACCTGGGTTTATAACCTGGGGATTTCTAACCTGGGTAGCAACATCTAGGGCCACACTGATGGGCACGCCTTTTAACGATGGAAATGCCAGTGTAGTTGCAAAAATGCAACTTGAGGTCAAAGTAGCTCGCTATGTTTTCTGTACTACAGATGAGTCTGGTTTATGCTTCTCATATGTATCTTTTGGGGCATCCCCACTTTCTCACGAACAGATGTGTACACAGCCTTTTGCTAGGAGGAATGGGGAAATAAAGATGAAAATGACATGGTTTTCAGATGGAAATGACATGGTTTTCACTCTCAAATAAATGGTTTCTATTTCTAAGTACAGTGCTTTGAAGAAGTCTTCATTTCTTTTACCATTGGCATGATGGACCTGGTCTTGCTCTAGTCTTTACTGCCCACAGACCACGGGCAAGTCAGTTAACTCCCTGGCCTCCGCTACATTATCGATCCGCGGGCCTAGGACCCATCTTTCAGAGAAGGTGCCTTGGTCCACTGGTCTCTTGAAGTCCTCTCATAGAGCAATGCCATTCTATGATTTTATCTCACAAAAACCCCTCAATTTTTTGTTTCATTTACTGAATAGGAATTTTATTCTTTGTTCTTAATTTAAAAAGAATACTTTATATTTCTTCCTCTTAAAAAAGTATATGTAATCTCTCTTGACTTATTTGGTCCTTGGTTGATGTTTTCTTGAGTGTGATGATCCTACATACAAGCAGATTTTCATGCCTTTTTTAAGGGAAGGGATTTGTAATGACCGGTGGACACATACCTGCTCCTCTTT